TGGGAGGACTCCACCACAACCGAGTTCGGCTTGGGGTGGCGGAGGAGGAAGGGGATATCCTCCTCCTGAACCTGGTACATGGATTCATACCTCTGAGACGTGGGTTGAGGGTGAGAGGGCAAGTCCCAGGGCTGCATCATTGCTTGTCGTAAGGTGGTGATCAGCGGCTGGATGACCGATGTGGACTGTTCCCCGTGGACAACGTCGTAAAACTTGTCCATAGTCGGTCCCAGATGCTGGACGGTGTCGATGTCGAGGGACTGGACAAGCCAGGACATCAGCTCCGCAAAGGAGACATGCGATTCATTCAGTGACGCAGGGCCCTGGGAGGTCACAGCGACATCCGGGGAGGTTGAATTGACCTCCGAATCATCAGAGTCAGCACCGTAATACGGAGGAGCTGATGAGGAGGACTCCGCTGGGGAGAAGGAGCGGCTACTTCCATCCCAAAGAGGTATCGGGGATGCATGCCTCGGGTCCGAAGACTGTGGGCGGTCGCGGGACGGTGGCGAAGACTGAACTCTAGGAGCAGGATAGTACCTGACGGCGAGTGGATTGCTCCAGGCGTGATAGTATGGACGACGCCATCCCTCCGAGTGCTGCTCCATGGAGCGACTCCTCCAGCTCCTAGGTGGGGACACCTCCACATCCGCCTCCATTGTGGCTGCGGGCATAAGCGTGGGCAACCTAGCCCTGGGGGGGGGGGGAGTCCTGAATTTCCCCATCAGAAATTGAGCCTCTTTGCAGAGTTGGAAGAGGCCCAGCAGGAAGGTCAGCCACACAACGAGGGGACCCTTGAGGGGCAACCCTCACAGCCTCCTGAAGCACCAGGTCAGGTGGAGTCAGTACGGTAAGTGCCGCCGGTACTGAGGGGGCCATCGAATCCGAGTCCCGGTGTCGAGGATGCTCCGGATCCTTTGGTTTCTTGGAAGATTTAGGAGCCTTGTCCTTCCTGGCCTTCTTATGGCCTGCTGATTTGTCAGGTTTGGCATGCTTACGCTTCTCGTGCTTCTTCTTGGGAGAAGCAGGCGGAACCACCATAGTAGGGCATGAGGTGTGGGGCCACTGAAGCGGAGCCAGGCTTTGGAGCAGCAACAAGCGGGTTGGACTGCATGAGAGTCCGATCCCATAGGAGCCTCTGGAGGCGATTCTCATGATTCTTCCTGGCCTGCTTAGAGAAGGCCAGGCAGTGAGAGCATTTATCGGTCCTATGCCCCTCCCCCAAGCAGAGGAGGCATAGTTCACGCGGGTCAGTTGGAGACATTTTTGACCCGCACTCCACGCATTTGTGGAAAGCCGCTCGCTGTGCCATCGCAAGAAACGGAAAAAAAGAGAGATAGTGCAGAGGGTAAGTATATATTTTTGGGTTTTTTTTTTTTTTGATAGAAGATTGAAAGAAAGGTAGAACGATAGAGAAAACTGCAAGAACTATATGAAGCAGAGGAACTAACAAGAACTAGAAGAAATACCGGGGCTATAACAACTAGGAGAACAATCGAGAAGAAGAACAAGTTAGACAAGCAACGGTCAGAGCAAGAGCGAAAGCGGCATGAGGCACAGTGAACGGCGGTCACAAAGACTGAACAAAATGGCAGACGCTCCGCTCTTTATAGGCTATGGGGGAGGGGGAGCGGAGCTTTTCCTGCCAAAAACCATTAGCTTGCAATCTTCCGGCCAAGGGCACTGCGCAGGCGCAGCACAGAGGCCACGACAAAGAACCAAGGATGAAGGATGGCTGGGACAACCCATTGTAGGCCTGTTGGTGCGTTGTAAGTTGCTCTGTGAACAACACAGAATCTATTGCTTATATCCAGGGTGCGTTTGCATGATGTATATTTGACCATTATGTGCCTTCAGACCATGCTTTGGAATCATGGAAATCAAGTCATTGCCCTCTGCACTGGTTAAGTGAAAGTTGCAATCTATGGAATGATTCAGTAGGTTAAACTTGTTGCTTTAGTTGGAACAAATAGCAGTTTATTTCCTTCTAAATCAAGACTGGATTGATAATACTTTTACGGAGACATGTAACGTTTGTAATCCCTGTGCAATGTTATAAAAAAGCTACTGAGAAAACAATACCAGGCCTGGTGACATACCTTTAAATTCAAGGTTTTCTTCTCTTGCACCTTCACAACAGGATTACTTGCATTAGACCAGGATGTTAATTTAGTAGTTGGCGAGGCAAATGAGCTCATGTAGACCCTCTGATAAAAAGCTCAGAACAGTTCCAGTCATTATGGGCACTAGGATAGCTGCCAGTAATTTTGTAAGAGTGCCAGATTTTATTTGTAGCTCTTGCCAGACTTGCTCAGGTGCCTGCCAGTATCATCAACTCCACAAATTTTCAAGCAGCACTTTTGGGCAACTGACAGTGGCCATTCTCCATGATTGTGAGGGTTAAAAAAAAATATTTTTGGACTTACCACAGCATCTCTGCCATTTTTTACCTTGCATTTTTCAGAGATTGCAAAGGCAGCTTTTTACAATCCTCATTTTGATAGCCGCTGATAGGCCCTTCAGAGTGCCCAAGTGATACCTTGGAGGGCTATCCATGGCTAAAAACCAAATTTGAGAAATGTTTGGGACCTCGGAGTGTATGCAGATGTTTGCATACACCATTTAAAACATTTGTTGAGGTTTGAAAGTGGGCATTATTTAAAGTATACATTGAGGTATGAAAATGGTTCATTTTTAAAAGTTTTTTTCTTGACTGGTCTCCCCATAATTTCTTTACAAGTACATATGAAGACACAACAGTATCAGAATCTGACAATTAGGAGAGGGTGGAATTGACAGACCATGTTTCTATCCAGATGAACAAGTCAGGGTGTGGAAGTTGTGCTTTGTAAAGTGTATCTGTATAATTTTGAAAAGGTTCAAGTCACCCAAAGCTCAGGCACACTGGTAGTCAGAGAAAAACAGATTATGTGATGTAATCATTTTTTCCTTTCATGTGATCACTTAGAACATGCAGTATGTGGCAGAAATACGACATTTGGCAGTAATAAGCCACTACGTTGAGTCAGAAAGCACCGTGTGAACTGCAACCTCAACTGTATCAGCTTGATCTGTATCCTTCGCTTGCTCTTTTTTGTCATTGCTCAATGGGGCAAAGGCAGAACTTTAAACATGCTCCACTCACATGCTTCTCTCATGATAGCCCTCCCTTTTTTTGCTTGTCTTCAAGCATTCCCGTAAAGATAGTTTCTTACTAATGAACCAGAAGCTATGAGAATTTCTGGTATCACAGAATATACAGTATTATCAACACAGAATACTATTCATCATGGTGAGACCTGTGGTATCTTCACTTGCAGTTTCTTGCAGCATGGTTTTTTCTTGAAAGAACTATGTAAATATAATGTATCTGTACCTGGGGAAGTAAAGACTGCACACACCTTTTTGAATAGAACAATTATTAATTTGACAGACATTAGCTAAGAAAAATACCTCTTATTCGAGAATTCCTTCTGGGGTATAGTCCCACACTAATTGGAACATTGGTATGGCTCAATATAAAGGTAGCTTTTTATATGCTTACGTTCAGAAAGATAACCTAAAGAAAGCAGAAGGAAGAACAAGTATTTCCTCTTGCATAAACTGGTCCTGAGAAAGGCAAAGCTGAAGATCTTTTAAAATCTAAGTTCTTAAATAGCCAAAATATCATGCTTTGGACAAATCGCCTGACTGTGAAGCCTTTCAAGGCTTCTCAGCCATCCTTATGGAAATGAAGCCTTTTTATTGTTTCAAATGTGTTGCTGTAATTTTAGATCTTTGGACTGTTGCTTTTTTTGACTTGTTTTATTCTGTAGTTTAAAACATTTAGAAGTTTTATCATATTGTTAGATGCTATAGTTTCAGCTGCTGTTTAACTTCCAGAGAACTTCTGCATCTTTCCCCATAGTCACTAGTTAAGTGACATTGGAGTCCAAGCTTCTTAATTTTCAACAGTGGTTGTTACAGTGATCAACTCATATATAATCGTGTTTCTCTGCTTGGTTTCTGAACTAGCGTTTCTACTGTCACATTAATTTTTCAAAAAAAGTGTGTTCTTCCAGAGAAAGATATACATATGTATTTCAGGTATCTAATAAGATATGATTTTAAATCCATACTTTCATTACAGAGAGTATAAGAAATAGTTAAAAAATCAAAGAGTTATAAGCAGCCTATTTTTAGAATGAAGTTGTAGGTTAATAAAAACTTGAAAAATGGAAGCCACTTGCAATGAAAATAGGGTAAAAACTGAAACTGGAAGATCCCATTCAAAGTCATCTGAACTACAGTTTTGAAAAGCCACAGCAGAATTACTTTTAAAATTCTGTATCATTTAAAGAAAGTAACTCTGAATCTTGTAGTCTGTGATTCACCATGATGCATACTTTTCTGCATATTCACACTGTTTTCTGCATTTTCACAGAAGCAGGCAAACATTAATAACTAGCAAGCCACACCCTACTCTGTCACTGCTGATGCAGATTCTGCAGAATCATCACTGTCAGCAAGGAAATTAACGCAGACACTTGCCAGAAATTGTATTTACACTAAAAGGCATTTCCTCTTCACATAGTTAAGACAACATTATTCACCAAGGCAAACCTTTCAAAAACATCACTGTGCACGTCTTTGCCTTCACATGCCTCTGGGTCTTTCCCTCCTATGTTTGAGCATTTATTATCAGCTCCACTTTCCTCTTTGCACTTTTTAGTCTATCAAACCAATCAATTAATTATATGAAGTATGCTGCGGCTCTAAATCTAAGTGTTTCTTGGCCAGTTCATACATTACAGTACTGGTAACTGTCTAGCTGGTTATGTTTGTGGGGTGAAAGCCATGCTACGATGCATCTCTGTATAGAGCACTGTGTGAAATGCTCCCTCTGAGTGAGATTTCTTACTGGCTGCTTAAGTCACCAACATGTCTGCATGCCTATAAAGCAACTAATCTTTTTGTTCAGTTTGCAGATTAATGATATGAATGCAGTAGGAAAGGAGGAATAATGAAAAAGTTGCAACAGGCAACAATTTATTTGTAAAAAAATCCTTTAAAATTTTACTACAACAAAGATTAAGGAAAAACAGTATTTATATATACATAATATATGTATATACACATAACTTGTACCATTAAAATTACATGCTTTTTAGAACGTAAGTAGTCTTGTTCCCTCATACCCATTTTAAATTCTCTCACTGCAAGAAAGTCTTGCTCTCCTTAAAAAAACGAACAAGCAAAAGAACAAAAACAAAGGTCAAACCTTCAAGTATAAGAAATAAGCACACTAGTATCTGAAAGTGAAAAACCATTTGCTTCACACAAATGATCACTGTTAAATACAGATTAAGTCCATTTAGCTAACACTTGTGTACGTGCCTTGGTGAACTTTACAATTGTGTAAAATCTTTACCTGAGATATGTGGAAATAATGGAAGGTGCAAGTTCATGGGTTTTAACATTTCCATTCCACTTCAACGGAAACAAAAATGGATAATGCTTTATATGTTCCTTCCCTCATGGTATCCCACATGAGAGCTCTTCAGCAGAACAAATTTCATGTTACCAAATACCTTAAACTTCAGGAAAACATAAAGGCAAGTGCCCCTTGGAATACCCAGCATGCAGACAGTGAAATAGAGGTAGCATTGTCTTACAGCTTCAACAGGATCACTTGACTTTAACCATATTATTATTCTTCTGCAAAGGCACTCGCTTTTTCATTTCCAAGCCTGGTGTTAAAATCCAACAGACTAGCATTGTTTTGCTATATATATGTTAAAAATTTAAATACGCATGATGAAAAAGAAAAAGGATATAAGAAGTAAGTGTTAATCATTATGTAGTATTCTTCTGTTAGGAAAAATTATATTTTAAAAATCTTGCTTACTGAAAAGCTGGAGGCCTCCCAGTAGAATTGACCAAATTTAAAGCAGCATAATGTATAATCAGGAGTAGACTGTCAAGTACCAGAAATATACTACCTTCAGTAACTAAAATAAGAGCAATGGGGTACAGTTAAAAAAGTAGGAAGGTTGGTCACTTGAAAAATAATGCAGGAGAAAGGTAGCAACCCATTAATGTAGAAACTTATAAATACATACAAAACTGCCATACTTAATCCATTCTTGTTTATAAAAGTGTGCGCTTTCTGGCATTTTCTTTCACCGAGAGACAACTGAGCTAATTGAATTATAAGAAGTCCCACTGTTACAGCTTGAAGCATAGGCTTCTTGGCCATTTGCATCTAAACTGACTCTGAACACAGAAGATGCTTTCAGTAAAAAGTCAGCTGCATCTCTGCGGCCCAGTTCTCTCAGCTTAGACATTAGGATACCCACAGTACTTTCAGGGGCATTTCCCCATTCCTGCAGAAGGGCGTAGGATGGACTTGAGACAAAGTCATTTTGACTCCCATTGTTTGTATTGTGTTTTGCAACAAGCTCAGGAAGGCCCAAGTTCATCGCAAGAAGGCACCAATCCTTGCCCATGGGATCAGGTGGATCTAGAAGTCGACTCAGTTTCCTCCTTGTAAGCAGATTCAGATCTGATACATGGATATCCATCCCCAAGCTTCCCTGTGAGTAGACATCAAGACACCCAAAGCACAATATACTACTGAAACTTTCTTTATAGCCACCCATGGTATTAGTCAATGAGGTCTCCTTTTGACTTTGCGCCCGAAAAAAGTCTCTTGGCTGGTAAATCATTATTGGTTCATGGTGTTCCCTCAGTTGCTGGGGACTGAGATAATGTTTGACTGTTAAGAGTCCTGGTAATGTTGTGGCCATCAAATTATCAATGGTGCTGCACACCGAATCCAGGAATAAGCAGCATTTAATCTTCTCTGTTTCCAGGCCTCTAACTTGAACTTCAATACCCTGACCATTGTTGACAAGCAACACAAGAAGCTCAGCTCCACGGTTCACAATCTTGGATCCATTTACCCAGAGACGTATATCTGCATCTCCTTCTGTGCTCTGCTGGTGAATCCATCTGCACAGATTCACCTGAACTTTATGGAAGATCCCACATGGAAGCGGTGCTAGGTGCTCCACAGGAACAATTCGGACACCACCATAAATCATAACTTCATCCTCCTCATCAGCCCAAGATCTATGAAGGCTATCAGTCTTGATCAATGCAGGAACATCAATCATTGTTCCACTGCTGAGATCCCTAGCACAGATATCCATGGCGTCCAAGATCTGTATAAGCTCTTCTATATCACTATCTGGTATCAGGCGTTGAATGTCCTCTATGGTATATCGACCTCTGTAGTGGTGGAGGGCTTTAGGGTTCTCTACGGACAGGAGCCTTCCAAGGACATTTGAACACAGCCAGCGAGGATCCAGAAGCACAACATCTTGGACTGTCTCACTCTGCATGATATTGATCTGTTCAGTAAAAAAGACAATTATAAGTCAAATCCAAATAAAAAAGAAAGAAATGTATTTGTAATCATCTTGATTTCTTGACCCGAAATAAGGAATTGACTGTACAATAATAGTGTTGGATCCAGAGATTCAAAAGTAGAAGTAAAATAGCAGGTCAGAGCTTGCACAAGACCACACTGTGAATAAGAGTTCATAGGGAGGCTGCATATCCGTGCTCAGGCATCCACAAAACATTTTTATAAAAGTGGAAGAGTGGTTTGATTCAGTCTGTCATTCTATATACCAGGAATGTTTAACCTCTTTTGGGCTGAGGGCAAATTCTATTTTACAGCTGTTCTCTGACACCATATTCCACTGATGGGTTGGGCAAAAATGGGCAGAGCCAAAGGCTAAAATACCCCCTCCCCATCTCCATAGCTTGAGGCTCTTAATTTAGAAGTATTCCTTTTAAAATAGGGGAGAAAAACTGAGCAAAAGCCAGGAAACGATCAATTTAATTGGTGGAAGGAGGCATGGCCATCTGGGGAACCCTGGAGAATCAGACTGGGGCCCAGGTATGAGGTTCTGTACTCCTGATGTAAATGCCTACCTGGAAGTAAGTCCCAGTGAACTGAATTAAACTTACTTCAGAGTAGACATATATAAAATTACTGCAGGCTTCATTTTTCCAACACATTTTTCTGCTACAAGAGGTAAAGCAGCCTTTTGCAAATGGAAGATCCTTTTCTCATGGAGGTGGGGAGGCGATTTTCACTGATTTTGGACTTCCTTCTGCAGACCCTATCATTACCTCCCCAATTTTCTGGAGGGTCCATTCATTCTCTGGTGCTGAACTTTGCAGGACAAGGGGGGACTGGTGAAAATCACCTCCTCCCCTGTTCAGCCCTCTTCAAGATTAGAAGGTTTTTCAAAGGATGAAGAATCCCTTTTATCTGTAGGAGATGTGTGTGGGATTCAACCAAATTAAAAGAACCTGGCGTAGAAAACAGGAATGGTGATTTCCTTAAACAGTATTGAAATTGAAGGTATTCTGGTATAGCCTCCCAGTTGCAAGGGGGAGAAAGTGGGCTAGTGTAGCAGAGACAATGAAAATCAGGCAGGCATTCCTCTGAAGTCATGGAGGTTCAAATTGGGGAAGGGGATGATATGCATGCTGCCTTTCCTCTGTATACCTGTGCATGTCAACCCTGTCCCTCAGTCCTCGACTTTCTGTGCTGAGAAGGGACATATCTATGTTTGTTTGAATGTAAACAGAATTCTCTGGCAGATCAGGAGCTCTGATAAAGCTGAGCAGCTGTGCCTGCTTCAGAAAAACAGCAAGTGCAGCATCTCATTGGTTGCTGCCCTGTTGAGGCTTCTGTGAGAGCAGTCAGCAGACTGCAGCAGTGGTATTGCAAGCTGCTAAAGAAAAGCACCGGGGTCTCTTGCCTCTTGTCCACATGGGTAAGTAGCAGTGGCAGTGCAAAAATTAACACTGGGGCCAATGTGTGCCAGCTTCTCTGGGTGGGAATGATGAAGCAATGAAAGCTGTCTCAGCTGGGATCACTGGGTGGGTTCACACATCATAACGACCCAAACAATGAGGACTGCCTGTCTGAGTTCCACAATGTGCCACAAAGTCACATCATTAAGTTCCACAAAGTCACATCATTAAGTCACTCTGCCCACTTGGTTCTCCTGTGAACATCAGAGGAACTCTGCAGGAGTGCCGATATTCCCTTGCCTTTGCTGCTGCATGGAGCTTGAAAGGGCTTGTAGTGGTGGTTGGGAGCATGTGAATGTTTGTTATGGCCTTCTGTAGCACAGGGCAAAGATCACAAGTCAGTGGGAGAAAACTCTTTGCTGCAAGGTTGTTGCAGGTAGAGGAGTGATGGCTGCCACTGTGAGCTCATAGTTAACCCTAACAAACAGGTCCAGTTTGCATACTATGACATCCACTGTGGTATCCAATGGGCTGTCATGTTGAGTGAACCCAGGCACTATATGCAATTTGGCCCCAGGATCTCAAAATCACATGAATGGTTCCTCTCAAAAGAACCCCAGCTACCTACAATCATAACTGGAACAGAAGGGGGTTATTTTAGAATAATGAGAAGTAAATCTTTATTTACTACTGGTCAGGGCCGCATAAACCCATTTGCCTCTAGCACACTTACTTTCGCTCCATGGTAGTAACCCTTTCAATGCAACATGAACTTCCTTAGTTCCTGATTTAATGAGATCTCACTGTAGTGAACTTCTGAGAAGGCAATAGTTGTGTGGCTTCTACATGGCTTTCATCATGTGTGGCTTCTACCTGGCTTTCAAAATAGTTGTTTGTGTGGCTTTCATCTCTTACAAGTTCAGTAAGAGATGAAACCACAAGTTATGGCCAACTACAAAACTGAGCCAAAATTTCAAGCCTCACAGTATCCTGAACTGTCTAAACCATTAACATGGCATGGACAGATGACTTACTTCTCCGATACTGTGCAGCTGCTGGGCAATATGCCGCAGCTCATCTTCACTTGCTAATGGGTTAAGCTGATCTTGCACATCATACACAAACTGCTGCAATGACATGAGCTGGTTGGGTCCATTCATTTTTCTCCATGATGGCAGGGTTGAAATGATTTTTTCACACAAGTGAGTCATAGGTGGACATGTCTAAAAGAAACATCACATGGGACGTTAGGTATAATTCTACAATGCAATTTTTAAACTTTATTAACAATTAGCAAGTATTCTTGAAGCATTTTCTGGATGGAACAGAATAATATTTGACCCCCACACACACAACCATTTACCGCTAATGCTTTGGATATCCTGTCACAAATGATGCAGAAATTGTGGCATCAGCCCATGCGTTCATTTTGCCTAAAGTGCACTGTGTTATCATGCCATTCTCATTTAAAGCTAATTGTTTTGGAAAGGAATATAGGAACTGAATGAAGAAATCACAAACAATGAAAGCCCAACAGTGATCGGCATACTTTTTACAAATCATCTTATTGTCCTCTTTAATGTTTGACCAGGCAGCTAGCATGTTTTCCTTCATATTAAAAGTTTCTGATAGTGAGATAGCACAAGGTACTTGTATAGCTTGATTTATGTGGGCTTTTGCACTTCTTCTATTAATGAAAAAGCTGTTTAGCATTTGGCACCATTTGGGCAAATTAACTGCATAAAATTAGAATACATGTTTACATTTCAGAAAGTGTCACTGAAACATATGAAAATTATGATCGATTTACTTGAATGCTAACATTAACAGGATTACTGGTGGATTATGACTTTGCAAGGTGGATCACTTTCCATCATAACATTACAATCTACTAAACAACTGAAATCAGGAATCAAAACCACTTCAGTTAAAAGAAATTCCCATTCTGCCGAGTTTCTTTCTTTTCTTATTTCTTTAAAATATTTCTAGGCCACCTTTCCAAGTAGGCCCCTTCTGGCAAAACCTCCTAGTAGAACAGAAGGATCATACCAGATTTATGGAACAGAGGAGACATAACTGATTAACACAGAAATATATGCTTCTAGGTACATACATGTTGCTCTGCATTTAAATAAAATACACAGGCACCAGAAAAAAAATGTGAAATTGTTGCATGCTCATCTCCAAGAACAAAAATGGTTTTTCATGAGAAAAAAAAGTATTGCATGCTACATAAAAGGTTGGCTGGGGGAGATATGGGTGTAAACTCATTCTTAGTCATTAAGCTCATTAGGTAACTCTGGCAACTCCATTCCTTCAGACTAATACTAATCTTCTCCAAGGTTATTATGAGAACAAAACAGAGAAATTCAGATTATGCCACCTTGTGTTCCCTAGCAGTATGACAGGATTAAAATAAATGCTCTGGCAATATGCTGTATAATGCTTGAGAAAAATCAGAATGACATTCAGCGTTGTTGAGGCATGTAGAGTCAATGTAGTATAGACATGCTAAACTACCATAGAGCAACTATTCAGCAGATCCAGGATTTTCAAAATAAAAATACATCAGTCTGATTTTACTACTTTTTATTTACCAGGAAGTAAAAAGAGCCAAAAAAGGATGAACTCAAGACCCAATCAATGTTTCTTTTTGCACCAGAGGGCACTCATGCAGACAATAAAGGAATCTATTGTATTCCATACAGGCACTCAACTTGTATCTCTGATTTACTCCCTGCCCACAAAAACAATAGTAGAAAGCAAATTTATATACAAAATGGGAAGAAGTTTGTCCATGGAGTTATGACTTACAGAGATAATTTGACTACGTAATTCCTGAAGGTGGTTTCGGAGAATCTTCATATCTTTTGAGCCAGATGCCCCAGCATCCAAAATAAACAACCTGTCTAAAATGTGGAGGTCATTCCCAAACCTAAAGAACAATAATTAAGCAACTGTTAAGCATTGCATGCCACATACTTAGTAAGAACATTTGCAGTCTGGTAACTTGGAAGCAGGTCCCTCTACATTCAATGGGATTTCCCCCAAAGTATGTCATAAGGTTGCAGCCTTCAGCTTGCTTCACTTTAGCTGCACAGGTCCCTCTTTTTTCTCTATACATGATGGGAAGAGATAGCCAATTTCACTTGGGGCTTTGAATGAACTTCAGTTTCTTGGGAAGTTGTGGTCTATTCTGACTATAATTGGTTTTCTTTGGACTAGTATTAGTATGAATAAAGCATAGCTTTCCAAGTTGAGATGTGACAGGAAATGGAAATTAGAACCTTTTGTTTTCTGTTTGGCTGATGGAAGGGCACATAAACCCTAAACAAGGCCAGTGGAAATACACAAGAGTCTAATTCTGTACTGCCCAACAGCCAAAGCTCTCTGGGGAATGCACGAATATGCATGTTATGCCATCCATTTGGCCATTTTAAAATCTGTTAATTTTTAATACACCACAGGCCCCCATGCTTTATAATGCGTGCCCTTCCTCTTACCTGTTCCTAATTTCTTTGAGAAGAGATGTATCTTTATCATACTGGAACTCTCCTCCAGCAGAGCGTGGAAGGTTGACAATGTCAGCATGAGTGCCCACCAGTGCAACGTGCAGTGGATTTTTCAGCCTTCCTCCAAATGCTTCAGAAGTGAAAAAAAATGAAGACTTTCAGAAAAAGGAATTTCTCATTCTGCTATAGAGGAACTGATTACATGTGTCTACAGAGACTGGCTCTGCTTTGTGTGATAATAGTTCATCATTTCAAGTAATATTGCGGTTTCATTTCATAAAGCTGGGCAAGACACTAAAAACTGAAATAATCCTTAGGAACAATCTATTTCACTTCAAAATAAAATATCTATTTTGAAGGAAGCGTAATGTTTTTCAGCTTCTTTTAAAAATATCTTCACTAGTCTATAGTATTACAGATAGGATTTATGGCTGAGATTATTTTAGAGGGCAAATGAATAGTCTAAACACATTCATACAATGGTATGAATGCAGCATTATAGTACTTACACAAAGAAAGAACTCTCACTTAAGTGAGAGCTGAGTAGGAAAGCCTGAGAGAGATCATGAAAAAGAATGAGAGAGAGAGAGAGAGAGAGAGAGAGAGAGAGAGGGAAACTGGACATGAATGAGGTAACTGCAGGGAACACATATTCGTACAGACTGCTTATACATCATCTGGAAAAAGAAGCAAACCCCCATTTTTTTTCAAATTTTAGAAAATACTGGCTTTAATTTGGTAGCATTTACTTGTATCCTGGCAAATTCTCAACAGAAATACCGTAACAATCAGCATGAGAGGGCTTGCCATATGCTAAACACATAAACCCTTCAAATGCAATAAAGCCAAATATGCCTACTTGATTTTCTTTAATGTAAGAATGCTCAATAAAGCCCTGGATTTGTTCAATGACATTTATGTGCCCTAAATACCCCCCCCCCCCCAAAAAAAAACCAGGTTCCAATCCATACCTGATCCGTATGCATTATACAGCATGCACTGTATACATACACACTTTCTGCTTGAGCAAACACTATTGACTTAACAGTAGGATAGTGTTGAATGCAATGAGATGCCATCCAGAGCTGTCCCTGATTTTGGAGTCAAGGGAGAAACCCAAGAACTCCATTCATGAGTGGATCAGGTTGCCTTGCTGGTTCTGCATAAAAAATATTTGCTTGTCCAAGAAATGTATCTGTAATTTATACTGTTTGTTGGTGTGTTTAAAAGGGTGACAAGCAAGTGATCAGCAGGATGAATTTCAATACTGTTAGCTGTTCTAGCTGAACAATTTTACAACATTTCTAATATCGTAATGAATGAAAGCTGAATTTGAATTTTGGAGAGTGCACGAAGTATGAAATAGCTTTCAATTTGAGGTTTTATTTTCTTAAAATTGTTGATACATACAAATACACTCACATTTATATATATAAAATATTTTTTTACAGAAAAGGCATTAGGCACTTCTGAATTCCTTAATCAGTAAGCTAATGAAAATAAATTTATTTGAATGATCTGGAGAAAGGCTAATTAAATTCTGGCTTAAAGTCAGACTGTCTCTTAATAGCTTTAACATTAAGTCAGAATATTAATATGACATATCTGACATTGTCAGCGTGCAGTAGAAAATGTTATAGTCCCAAGATGATTTGATTATTTAATTCATGTCTTTGTTACACATGTTTTAGCAATACTGCTTCTTTGGACAGAATTTTAGGTGATGGAGCCAAGCCAGACATCTTGACTTTGTTCTTTCAATGAACTGGCACAATAGGTGAGGAATGCTTTGTTATGATAAAATTAAGTGAATAGTGTTGGTTAAAAGAAATGAATTAAATCCTTTTCAAAACATGGAACAATTATGTTCATGGGGGTATGGAGTTGATAAGAAAGTTCAGGTAATTTAGGTAACATGGCGAACTAAAGTATTTGCCCAGTGATCTCACTTAAGTAAATGTAGATGCAAAAAGGCAGGATAATGTTGTTGTTGTTACATTTATATCATGTCTTTTTTCCTCTTTACAAGGAACGCAAAGCAGCTTATGAAGTGCTCCTTCTCTCAATTTTCTTCTCACAAAAGCAACACTACGGGGCAGATTAGAGAAAAGGTACATGACTGGGGCAAAGTCACCGAGAGAGCTTCATGGCCAAGTGGAAACTACCACCCAGATGGAGAAAAAAATAAATTCAGTGAAAAGTGGCATCTTTATAAAACAAATGCAAGCCACTTCTGGTCCTCCAGCTGTTTTGGTCTACAATTACTATCTTCCCTAGAAAGCATAACTTAATGGTGAAGACTATCTGAAGGGCAACATGTGGCTCATTCCTGGTATAAACCATGATGCCTTAGTGCTAAAAGGGCATGGCATTGTCTCCAAACTTTGGAGGAAATCTTTCTCTTCTGTCACATGTTGAGAGGCTGGTGGAGATAAAGTACTTATAAGCATACCTATAGGTTCTTCAACTGGTACAAGCGATTTTAAGAAACTAAGCCAAAAGGTCACTTGGTTCAGCTGTATTTCATAAGGCTCTTCAAGACTGAAAAGCACAATGTGAACTGAGGTGGGATCATTTGCAGCAAAATAATCATAGCAGCAGAAATACACAGGATTCCCAGAGAATTCCCATACACTGAAATCACCAATTCCTGCAATAAGCAAATATATATGTTATTAAGTCAAGAATGGAACATGTTCCATATACAATAATACACATATTGTAAGTCCATCAAACTATTTATTGCCAGCTATAAATGCTGAAGTTCCACTGATGTGTTATTGGGCGAAGGCTTGAGAAAGGCTCATCCTCAGAAGTAGTTCAAGGCTTTCAGATGGCAGTGAATGTTTTACAAGATAAGGTTTCACTCTGTTTAGAGCTTTCTGTTGAAAACTACATAAAGTATACACAATAAGCCCAGAAAAGACGATCAAAACAGTAGCTTTGTGCAGCAACACAACATATTAGGACTTGCATAAAACAAAGGTTACTGCTAAAATTAATACTAGATTAGTAACTTAGGGAACAATCCAATGCATGTTTGAACAAGAAAAAATCCCACAACTCCAGCATTTCTCATGTTTGGAGCTGCAGGATTTTAGTCTGTATAAACATTCAAGGATTATACCTTTAACTAATTTTCTCTTGCTTCTCAGAACATTAAAAATATTGAACAAATGTCTCCATATGGCAGTAAATTGGGTGTCAAAACAGAATGAAAACTGTGTAGTTTTAAAACCATATCTGGCCATTTGATTTTGCAAGGCTGAAAAAGACTAATTTGCAAAACCACAGAATGAGTGTAACAGTCATTGCTGAATGGTAATCACAAGTTTATAGCCATGGATAACAGTCTTATCTTGCCATTTATTATTTTTGCTGAGAGAAACATTAGGCGTTTGTATCATCTTCATTTAAGTAAACTGCACCAACCTGATTTATACATAAATACATCTAGGGAAGAATGGAAATCCTTGCTCTGTGACATTTTGCAAAGACTGCAGCTATTAATATTAATAATCACAAGTAAAATCTTCAAGTCTGGAAAACTTTGGCTAAAATTATAGTTACTGTAATCAAATCAATCTGCATATCTACTTACCTACCTACTTTGCATTAGATATTTATCTGTTTCTCTGCTATTTTAGTTTTATAATTGTAATCCACCCAGATGTTATTGGATGGACTAAAAGAAAAGAAAACCTTTATCTATCCAAGGAAGATGTCAGCTACAGTAGGCAAAAGAACATTAGTATTCTCAAGGCTGAATGGTAAAGCTCAATATGCATATTTTTTTTTAATTCACCCCTTCAAAAATTAGGAAAATTCATGTTTTAATTGATGCAATGTCAATGTAATCCTTCCAAATGATAGCTCTTAGGACAAATTTTGTGCCCTGGGGAGATGGAGTCTCATGTAATTCAAACTTCTGCTTGTCAGTGGATCTACTAATGAACAAGCACCTCGAGTTCATTAGTAGATCTGCTGTCAGAAAATACATCATGGACAACCAATTTAGTGTTCCATCATGCCTGTTTCTGAGATAATATGGAACCATTTGGAGATGAGAGCTCCTAGGCTATGGGTCACTTTGCATCAGAAAAAGATGTATACTTCTAACCTGCATTCCTTCTAGAGATGCATATAAAAATCGCAGAGGAATTTAATTGGTGCTAATTTAATTTTAACTCCTGCAGTAAATACAAGGAAATCAGGAGACCACTTGGCTTGGAGAAATCCTGGATCCTGACATTAGTGCTATGTTGTGAAATTATGCAGGTACCTGGGCAAAATGGAAAGAGGAATGGGGAGAGAAATGGAAATAAGCTCCAGGACTTTCCTCTCCTCATTCTAGGGACATGTCAGAACAATTAAAAGCTTTAGAGACGGTGGGTCCATTCCAAAGTGTCATCTTAAATCTCCATTTTCTGGCAAGGACTGTTGAGGGCTAGGAGGTCAGATCTCTTTGTATAGCCAAGGTCCCCCCTCCCCATGAGAACAGAAAGAGACTTGCTAGATCCTATAGCTGCTACGACACTTCCTATGCATCGTATGATTCCAGCACGAAGTAACACCACTTTTAAAAATACTGTATTGATGTAGCAAAAGTACATTTAGTCCTTAGGATTTTATTTTGCTGCAGTATAGATTGTGTTTATTCCTGGCTTAACAATAGATCAAGTATAGAAGAACTGAAGATATTCACTGTGATGCTTACACTAAGGATCCTACCAGTTACATTGAAAGATAATAATTGGGCTTAGAAGTTCAAGTTTTACCATTCAAATAAGCGTTCTGAATGTCAATGGCTTTGGTAGACTGGTCATCTGTCGAGCAGTGGGAATGGTGAGAGGGTGAGACAAAGACTTCCAGCATCCCTTTGGTCAGGCCTGGCTCAAACATCATGCTCCGGCTTCTCACACTAACATTCTCACAGCCAGGATACAGATTTGTAATACTTACTGAAACTGAATCACAGAAAGAATAAAACAAAAGATTAGAAAACCTAGAAAAATGTACAATCAGATTACAAAATGATCTGGAATTAAAAAGGTAAGATAGATCCAATTCAAAAAGAAAGAAAAGGGGAAAAAATGCCCCTCGTACTATCAAAAACTGCCAGGAATATTTTTCTTCAGGATTTAAAAGTATAATCAATCAGCCACAATAAAACATTCTCATCTTCATTTGAGGTGAATCAGCTGTTTGGAATAGCCCCTTGGTGACAAAGGAAGTCTTTGGGTATATGTGTATGTTCATACAGCCAATTGGATGCCCTCCACGTCTTTTGGATTAGAACTCCCATTATGGAGTTGCAGTAGGAAGGGGTAATCTTCTGAAATGAGGCAGAAGAGCTTTATATGATCTATATGAATTGATGCAGTACTTTGAGCCAATATATCAGTATCTAGCAGTATGCAGACTGAGCACAGAACAATGGATTTGTAAAAATGCATAACTCAGGTATGTATTTTCCAAGTGGAAGAATAAAACACTTAGCACTTTTCAGACAGTCATAGAAATCACTCAATAGTAAGGACAAAAAGCAATTTTTGTATTCAACTAGTTCGTTCTTGCAGTCAAACAAATAATATACCACTGACTATTCTGAAAGCATAAGCAAATAGAAATTTTAGTACTCTGTAAGGATGCTCATTCATCCTAACAAACATAAAGCTGCCTTTTCAGAATGCTGAAAAATTAAGTTTTATTCCTTCAAGAATATGAATACCAAGGGAGGATGGCTCCATTTTCTCCTTCATTAGAAGGCAAATGGTCCTCTCCAATGGAATGAATTTCCTTCCTTAGAATTAAAGAAGATAAAACCTGATTTGAGACACTTTATGCCCAAGGGCCAAAGGCCTTTCTAGATATTCCTGGTTGTTCACATGTCTTGGAAAAGATGGCAGATGAATATTCCGGAATGTCTGGGATATCAGATTTAATCTGATTATACTGGAATGTCTGGGATATCAGATTTAATCTGATTTCATTTCTTCATTTTAAGTGAAAGAATGAGTGGAGACTATCCATTAAGGAAGAAAGACAAAAATCCAGCATAAGGTGGAGCGATGAACTATTCACCTAATAGTTATTAAAGAACTAAAATATGAAGTTTAGTTTTAGTCTTAATGTTTTTTGTGTGATGTTATTATGTAATCTTTCCTAAATGTTTTTCCTTATTAAATATATGTACAGCTTATAGAAGTTACACATTAAAGACATCTATCTTAAAACATTCAAATAATATATCCATGAATTATGTAATGATACATTTAGTCCTACCTACAACCTTTATAAAGACTACTAAAAAAAATTCTTTTAAAATTTTACATAACTGCCTTCCCCAGCTTGATGCCATCCAGATGTTTGGGGTTGTAACTCACAGCATTCCTGACCACTGGCTGGGTTAGGGAGGACTGATGGGTACTGAAGCCCAAAATACTAGAACTCCTCCAGGCTGGGGAAGATTGTTAGAATCATGTATTATCCCCATTTTTAAACTGAGTGCATTTTTTCATATACTGAAATACTGATTTCTACCTTTCTATTACCACTTTGGTTTTTTATCTGTTCTACAGAACAGTTCATTGAATCTTTCTAAATTGGGTCACATATTTCCTTTAGAATCACAGATTTGGAAGTGATCCTTCAAGCATGTGCTGAATACAGAATCTGCAATACAGGATAAACCTGTAGCAAAACAGCAGCAGGAATAAAGATGAAAAGCAATATCTATTTTAATTAAGGGATGTAACAGAAAAGTCCTTAAGGGGGTACCTGAAGGCTTATTAGATAAAGGTGAAGGAGGAAACCTGACTGAGTTTGTTGAGGATAGCCTTGGTCTACGCCTTCTGAAAAAGCTTCTCAAAAGTCCACACTTTAGAGACTCCACAAGAGTAGTTTTCCCAGCTGCAGAGTGGCCAAAGAGCTTAAGTTTTATTCTAGGTTGTAAATTATGAGTAGGTCTAAGATGTTGGATGAATAGGGCTCTGTGCGTATCCTAAAGGTGAAAACAAAGGACAAAATGAGTTAGTAATTTTGGTGAGCAAAGTTAGACTAAATATGCTTCTGTTTCTTAGGGCATTACATAACATATTTCTCAGTATACAAGCAGGATTTAGCATTCTGTTAAAGTAGCAGAGATATTATGTATGATGAAATATATGAATGTGGATCTTTTTCTTGACATACATGCATTTGAATGGAAAGGTCAAATATGTCATCTTCCCCCCCCCCCCATATGCTGGCTACTTCAATGTCATTTTGTTTAAAATTCTTAGCCTTATACTCATAAGCTTTGGGAGGCTGAATTTTCATTATTTGTGGCACTCATGAATTGCACTTCTTCCAGAAAATACACAGTTAATTCCAAAATGTAACCCTTCCTCCAAAATAAAGCTCTTCTTCATCTTAAAATGCTGGTACTTCCAGGCAACAAGTCTTTGAGGTTTGCAGTAAGTTTTCATTCTTTTTCTCCAACAGTAGCTCCTTATGCTGCAAACTGCTTTTTAAAGTACAAAAACATTTTGCAGGAAATTCTGCAAAAATGTACTGCTCTTCAGGAGAACAGTATACGTTTAACAACATTCTTCTTTTTCATTGTATCAGAATGTAAGTTCTGGATCTATAAGTTCAATACTTTCTGTATTTCAGTACTTTCTTTTACCATTTCTCCTTCACCCAAATCTCCAGCTATTCCGATTTCATCCTGCAGCTCGTAATTCACATTCAAGTCTTTTTCTCACTGTCATCCAATAGCATACATTGAATGTAACAGAAGTGCAAAGACAGGATGGCATCTGCTATCTGTACCCATTTCTATGTGCTGACTTTGCTTGTGTGAACATTCTAAATGTGCACAAGTTGCACTAGTGCAAGCACTCTAAATGTGACAAGAAAAAACACTGTGCAGTACCCCGGTTTGTGTGTAAGTTTTTTTTAAAAATTATTAAGGCTAACACTATTAGACACTTACAAAGCACCTAATTTTTATAAACTCTGTACAGATATTGAAAGATAAGATAGTTCCATCAGCCCACATTCAAAAGGAAAAGGAATGAAAGAAAAAAGCCGCATTTTCTTTTTTGGCTAATGGATGGGATCAGCTTGATCTCCCCCTTGCCAAGGCACTCTTCCTGAGAGGCAGGTCAAGCAGCTTCGCAGGGTATGCTGCCCTATAAACTTCTGCCATCCTAGAGCATTTAGTATAGAAGGGTCGAGAAAGGGGATTGAGGGTGCGATCCTGCTTCTTTTCCCCATGATTATTGTTCATATTTGGAAGACCATGTAAAAAGACCCAATGCTACCGTCAGAGTCAGCACTGGGAATAAGAAAGACAGTTGCTCTTGGTGCACTTTCTCAAGGCTGTCTGGCTGGACTTCAGAGGAGAAGGGGCCCTTGGAATATGGGTCAGTTCCAGACATTGAGCTGAGACAAGTGGAGTCGCTTATTTCAAAGCCAGGCTCCCCAAGTGGGCAGGCAGTCTCTGAGAATAACCAAGACATACAGTTAGTGAGAAGGGGCTTGGAAGTGGGGGGGGGGGTCTCAGAAGCAGGCAAGGCAGGTATTGCTCTCAACCCTATATGTGGTGATGGCAGAGAAGGGCAGCCGAATCAGAGGATCACCATAAAGAAAATAAGTGTGCCCGTTTTAAGAAGGCGCCTCCCAAAGGCACAGGGCACAGGCATGTTCATAAGGAAAGTTCTTGGAGGTGAATATTCAACTAGGTTCAACAATGCCCAGAGATTTATTCTGGGTGTTTGTGCTTCTGAAAAATGCTTTTGGTCAATGTAAAACTTTTGAAAAAATGGCCTGTGGCTCGAAATGTGAACAGGGAGGAACCCTAGCTCACAACAGCCAGTTATGAAGTTAATATCTTATGAAAGGAGAATGTTTCTGAAATGCGACTGAAGGTCTAATACAGCAGACTGAAATTTTGTTCTTAAGACAAATTTGTTCCTAAGGCTTGATAAGATTTGTAGCATTAGTTACAAGGTAATCTTGGTTAAGATTGCATGAAAATGACTAAGTTTCCATTTGGAATAAGGCAATTTCCTATAGCAGAGAAGCATATCCTAGTCTGGGATGCTCTTTACACTTGCTCCAGAAAGCAGGGCCTTGGCAAACTACTGTTATAACTATGTAGCCTTTGTTTCTCTATTCGGACCTTTGTCTCAGGAGCCCCCTGGTGTCAGTCTGGGTTACACAGTCCTCTAGAAAGGAAGACAAGCCCACTGTCTCTTGATACCTCAGAAGACAGTGGGGAGCCATTGTAGCATGTCATTTGTCCAGGGCAGTGGATCCATTTCCAAGTCACCTCACATCATAATTTGGCTAGAACTTTGGATGTCTCCAGGGACAGTTCAGAATGAATGTGGGCTTGCTGAGTTGACAGGATGTTGATTAAGGAGAGCAGAGCATCCATCATCAGGTATTCTCTTTCACAGAACTTGTGTTCAGTCTGAGGGGTTCAGTCTGAGACTTCAACTATGAGGGGACCAACTACAAGGGCAGCAAGTTCATGTCCAGGTACCACACTGATGGGGCAGATAGCCAGAGGCCTCTCAGCAACCTGGCTTAGACCCTGAGGTATGCCTTGCCACCATTCTCCCTCCCTTGTCTAGTCAAGTGAGGTTAGAATTTGGACACATTCTAAATTTGTCTGGAATATGAAGTGGTTATTCTAGTGGTTCCAGTGTGGTCTGGAAGAGTCACAATACTGTCTATACAGAATCTGTGGCTGCTCCTTCTGGAAGGGATCTCCTAAATCACAAGAGTTTTTTTCACTCCAACCCACCCTGGTTACAATTACAGACATATAGATTGACTGGGTAAATTAGAATGGAGATACAATGAAGGGGCATTCTTCACCATCTCACAGAACTTCTACAAACGTATGATTTCACATGACAGGCCTTCTGCCATTGATACATCTGCAAGGAATTCTAACCTTTGAGCACCAACGCTAAAACATTTGCTCCCCTTCCTACAAGTTAGATCAGATCAGGAAGTGCAGGCTAATAAGGTAGTAAGTCTGGTTGCACCCCTTAGCATCATTTGTGGCAGTTTCCTGGTTGCAGCATCCACTTATTAAATTTCTTAGTGGCCCTCCTGTTCTACAACCTTCCTCTCAACACAGGATCCCTTCATAGAAACTCTGTAAGGTTTTGGGAGTTTAGTGAAACCACCTTTTGAACATATACACATATACTTTTATTTGCCATCATGTCGGCATGTAGGTGCTGAAAAAAGGACTTTGCATTGTCATAAGGATTATACAGTTCTATGCAGAGACTCTTCCTTTGTACCCAAAGTGAAAATCTTGTAGCAAGATCTCAAGAATTACCCTTACCTTTTTTGCCCCAACATACAAGTAGATCTTACCTTTTTTTTTAATTCCAGTCTACAACCCTCAAAAGAAAAGGAATGACGCAAATGGGATATATGTGGAACCTGTACTGAACATCACAATTGGTCACATTTTTCTGTTAACTTCTTTCCAGCCATCCACAATGGAAGAAAATTCCAGTAGCAAAACTTTCAAGATGGATTAAAGCTTGCAGCTCCCTGTATTCTGGGGATTCAGTTACTGCTGTCTCTGGAAGTCTTACAGCTCATTCCAAGAGGAGCATAGTCATCACTAATGCTCCCTTGATCAATGTTTTTTGAGTGACAACTTGATCTTACATTTCCTTATATATCCACTGTTATAAGCTGCAAGTCAGCAGGCAGGTTCTGCAGTGGTCTCAGCTTAATCTAAATAGAGCCCCTGGCCTAAGTAAATACTATTTGGAAATGTCCCAGATTACGATACCCATCTCTGCTATAGGAAGATGAAAAGGTTCCTTAATGTGCAGAAGGTTCCTTTTCTACAGTGGGTGGAGAATATATTACTTGCCTTGGATAATGGAATCTTAAGGATGGAGAAGGAGAACAATTATTTCAGTTTATTCACAGTTCTTATTCAGATTAGAGAATGGACCTTTTGGCAAGCTCGTACCACTTACTTTTCTTTCTCCATCTGTTATTCTTGTTCTTGCAGTTTTTCTCATGTAACTGTTTGATGAGATTTTTTGTTTTGGGAACTGTTTTATTTCTGAAACTGGAAGACACTCATCCACACCGGTAAAATAATTTGCACTTTATTCAAATTTGGCCTTGGCTTCTGGATCAAGTGGAAATAGCCAGTACCTCCTGCATGCTCTCCATCCACTACAGGAAAAGGAATCTTCCTGGTAAGTTGAATGGTTATTTACACTGAGGAAAGTTTGCTAAAATTCAAGAACTGCTGAACAGTTATTAGAAATTTATTTTAGCATGCTTTCTTGAAGGGTTATTTTTATAATATTGACAATGAAATATAACTTGAGTTTTCATTCATTTTCTTACCTTTTTAAGCCTTGAAAGTAGACAGGCGACATGTTCGTGTTGCTCTGCCCTAGCCAGATCTTCTGCTGTTTTTCCATCCTGTTAGAAGACAAGCTGTTAGTTACAATGTTAGTTTACTGTCCACAACAGACAATAAAATGTACATGCTATAATTCCATTTTTACATGGATGAAAGGAAAACAATTGTTACTTGCAGAAAATAGGGGGAAATTAGAATTATTAATTTATTTAGTATTTAAAAATAGCTTCTTTCACAAGAATCAGTATCTTGATCTTACAGAATAGCAAATATTAAAATTTGTACCAATTTCAGCAAGTTTATCCCTTTATTTGTAAGAAAATATGTAAAATGCATTTTTCAAATTATGAATTACTGATACGGTATATGAATGACATGAACTGAAGATGGCATGTTTATGCACATTTAAAAGGAAGACAGTAGTAATGAAGGATTCTATTTACACTTAGATTGGAGAAAAGGAATGGGAAAATGGATAAGATGGAAAATCCATCTTATCCATTTTCTATCTTTGGTAGGGGTTGGTGGGGGAGAGAATAGCACAGCTTTAAACAGCTTAAGTAAATTCAGGAGAACAGCAAATCTGTCTTCAGTATTCTGTTCTTGAATTATAATCACCTGCATTGAGATGAAATGAACTGTAAGATAAATTGCTTTCTATAGTGGTCTCATAGGACTACATTAATGAAAATACTATGTGCATTGTTATACCTTCATGACCTTAAGTTTTTCTTCAGGCAAATATTCATACTAACTAGGTTTTATAATACCTGCCCCCCGTACACTTCTGGTTACAATCTTTTCTGAGACAAAACTGCATTTTGTATTTAGCAAGGAGGATTTTAGTATAGTCTAACTGATACAGTGTTAGAGAGCTTACATTAAAAGATAAGTATAAATAAATAAATCAGTGCCAGGTCTCAAATCAAAGTGCCACTTATACATCCTCAAGCTACTTATATTAAGGAATTTATACCAGTCTTTAACTGTAAACACAAGAGTGCTAAAATGGTAAAAATCAGAACACGGTCACTTTTTCAAATGCAAGTTTATTGTTCTGATTGGTACCATTCTAATCCATGTTAACAGCATGAGTAGGCAGGAATAAGTAGCAGTTATTCCAGATTATTAAAATGAAGCAAAATGTTGAACACATTTAGCAAAAGGCATCTACCTTATTTTCAAAGGTTCCAGAACATATATTTATCCTCAGTCCTCCATGTCCCTCAACAGGATACTTTGAATAATTTTATGCACAAATAATATAGTTTAGATTGTGGTTTAAAATACACATACAGTCTCTCAGGATGAAAGGAATATTACATATGTTCTGATGAAGACATATGCAAATGTGTGCAGAATACTGGGAATCTGGTTCCTTTTATCCTCATAGCTGCCTATCCAGATGTTGTTAAATATGCTTCACCAGCAGTATTACAATACATCTAGCTAGATCCATTGTGACACTAAAAACTATTAGGTTTTGAAAAGAGAAGTATACTAGATAGTAATGCCCAGCAGCATGTGTTGGGAATGGGACAGGGCACAGGCAATGGAGGTTGCTGTGAGAATGATGGTTGTCCACAAGCCCACATTATTTTCACCTGCTGAATATTTAAAGTTGTATCTTCAGAATATGAGTATTTAGTATCAGTCTTGGGCCATGGGTTGATTACTTAGGGCAGCACTGTTCAGGACTCTGAGCACTGTCGCTGGATATTCTGCCAAAAGGAGTCCAGTGCCACGCTGGAAGGATTATCTGAGGCAAGGTAGTTCACTATCTAGACTCTAAACTTGGTGACTGAACTACAATTCCCTTAAGTCCGAGGTAGTACTCTCCCAGGGAAAGGAGCAGGCTGGACATGGACACACATCGTGGACCAGGTAAAGAAGCCTGTTTCAGAAACATTTCATGGCAAGGCCTTGTGAAGAACAACGGATGGCAGTCTGGGGATGCAGTTATGCTGAAGCTTGCAGACAGTGGTTTTTTCACATTTATTCCATAATACAACAGCCATCACCACGCGAGTTCAGAATGTTCTTGGCTCAAGCCCTAATTAATGCAAAAGGTGGAAGATGCATGACTGAAAGTTCCTTCCACATTAAGAATTTCCTGCGTATAACACTTGGAAAGTAAAGGCAGATAAAGCCATCTTCCTGACATGAGAGCTTCCAAACAGGCAGAAACTTGCAAACAGGAAACTGTATCTGTCACAGCAAAAACAACAATGTATTTTATTATACTTAAAAACTAACAAATTTATTATGACACAGGCTTTTGCAGACTAGAAACATGAAGTGCCCTCTATAAGTTTTCTCTGAGGCTGAATTTAGCGAGTTTTTATTTATTTTCTGGAACAGTCTAGCTCCTACTATATTTTTCTTGTGAATATGTAGGTTTGATTGATGGATCAATTGATTACATTTAAGTTGATTTTTCTTTAGTGCTACATTGTAGTCTATAAACATAGCTCTTTTAGTTGTAAAGTCCTGACAGTATCAGATGAGCCAGATAAAGGCACACTTAGTTTTGGTTCAGCAAAGTTTGTGAGTCATGCAGAAAAGCCATTACTTAGTTAAAGTGCAGGCAACAAGGTGTGAGATAGCTAGTTGCTTTTCATCCATTCTTCAGGAAGGCCAATTTTGGGAACATTACTTAACCCTTGTGAGGAGGAAAAGACAGCAGGTGGTGCTGTTTGGAAGTGGTGGAGCAGATCAATTGGACAAATAGTAACTGCTTCACAAGCTCACCTGTGAGCTTGCTTTTCCATTCAATCTTCCTCCCACGCACACATGCACACTGTGAATTATTTTATTTTTAGTGTCAGGCCTTTCTAGATGCACTCATTTCAGAAAGACCTAAAATGGTATTTATAGGTTTCAGTTCACATAGGAAAAATAGCTAGCAAGTAAATTACTGAAAATAAAGCAGCCCCCCCCCCCCCCGCCCCAATCAAGAATATTGCTGATAAGGTAAGAACTGTATTCTAAATTAACTTATTTTAGGCTCACCATTCCTCCAAAAAGGCTTCATACTAGGTGAAATAATTATTTTTAAGCCAAAGTCTTCAGGAACAAGATTTTTACACTTTCTGAAAACAGTTGAAAAGTAGAAAACATATTACTACTTACAGATGTTAAAGTCTCCACATTAGCTCCACTGAGGCAGAGGTACCGAACGACATCAAGAATTCCATTGTTTGCTGCAAGATGTAAAGGTGTTCGCCCATACTATAAAAGGAAACAGTATTTTTTAAAAAGTTGTTCTCCACTTTTACCCTCTCCATATTAGAAAAATAGCATTTCCTTTTTCAGTTGTACTGAAAGATACACCGAAGTGTTAGTGAGCCAAGCATGCAATGTTCCAAGGCATCTTTATAGTGTACGATCGACAGCTTTTAACCATTTACCTTCAGATGAACTTAGGAAGTGGAATACCTACTGGAATACCACAGAAACTTAGGAAGAGGAACACCACAAAAACAATGTACACACTTGGAGGATTCAATAAGTTTGTGTGAGTACATCTGTTTGTAAATTGAGAAAATAATTGCAGAATTAAATCCAAAACAGCCCTCATAACTTGGAAAGCATTGCAGAGCTTCTGTGGTTTTTCATTTTTATTTTTCGCTGTCTTTTAGGAGTGGATCAGGACCTGGATGTCTGTGCGTATTTTCTTGCTTCTTAACTTAAAAACTTCGTGAGATTCCCTACAGCAATCTGTTGCAGGTCTTTTAAAATCTTTTTGACACAGTTATTCTTTATGGATATGCATTTAGAAACAAACTATTTACATACTTGGATGTATGTATGTTTTAACATGGTAGGAATCTAAAACATGTATACTGTTAACCCTTATTATTTTGAGGTTCCTTCACTGAAAAAGTCTTTTATGCCAGAAAATCAGTGAATACCTTACTTGTCCAATACACCTTCTGTGTACCTTCTTGTACCCTCTGTGCAACAGTGCTCTGTGGTATCATATTACTTGTGTTCTTGTAATTTCCCCAAATAGTATAACTTTCAGAACACTAACACAGTGATACTTCACTATACTCCACTCATTCTCTATAAGCACAGCTGCAGTAGAGGGCGAATAATGATAGGAAAAGGTCAACTCCTGAATGGTTGAGCATGTATGTTGCATTTACAGATAAATTTTGGCATCTCTGGTTGAGGAAACTTTGGTGAACAAGTTGTAAAAAAATCATGGCCCAACACTCCTGATACTTCTGTCAGTGCATAACAGTAGGCTGCAGAGGTGATTTGCTCGATTCTCAATAAACTGCTTGACTATCAGGTTGAAAAATCCAGGATGAAGGTTTCATTAAATCTATTTTTTCGTACTGAACTTTTGATTTGCAAATGATTTAACATCAGAATGGTATCAAAGCTAGAGATGTTTATGTCAAGGACATGAACTATAACTCAAGTGCACAGAAGCTACTGCTGACACAAACAAAAAGAGACTAACATGCAAGCCAATATAGATGTTGCAGGTCTCTATAGTACCTGACCTTTTTGTATGTCATGTACTTTTTAGATGCAGCATTTTTCCCCCTGGAGAAAACCTTGTGCCAAGTCACTGAGACCTGTCAACAATTTTCAACTGTAAAATCGGATCTTTCGCTGTATTAAGCCTCTCTTTCTGAAAACATAATTTCTATCATGGCTTTGCATTTAATTGCTCAATCAGTCAGGATTAAGCTAACGCAAGGGGCAGAGGGCTCAAGATCATAAGCTTTTTACTTGGCAGCCGATGACACTTAAATTTAAAAATAATCCAAATAAATGATTGCACAGGGTCAGCCAAAAATCCACAACTTTGCACAGCTAGTTGTAGCACATAAGGTCACTAAGCATTTTTAGATGTCAGGACTATACTGCAATATTTAATGCTCTTAAGAAGCAACAATTTTCATTAAAAGGAATGCAAAGACTTTTGAATTTAGCTGTTTTAATATGACAGGTAAGAGCTGTATTATTCAGAATATTCCTTTACTTGGTAACGTTAGACCAACTATTAATCTGTCTGTAACCCACAGTGTGTCAATGGAGGCTAAAGCTATTTAAATTAAACCCATGAAAAATACTCTGAATTCAGGCTCTTATGGGAAAGCACAAAGTTAAGCCAGTTAAGTATTGTTTTTAGATTTCACACACTTCTGAGCTGTTGTTACAAAGAAATAAAATTAAAAATACACAAGGCTATTAAATGAACAATTTGGAAAGTACTGTTTTGCAGATGTTTGCGAGTAGCTGCCTGAATGTAAAATAAAAGAGGGAAATATCTCAAGGGATCTGCTCCATAGCCATTCTACTTCAGGAAACATGCAAAATAATGCTAATACAGAGATCTTAAATACTGTGAGTGTATTTTTTGCAGTTAAATATTGATCTACTTAAAGCAGTAACTTTCCTGTAACCCTCTCTGAGATGGAAGCATTGACATTGATGGAGGGTGAGGGTTGGCCAAGGGCTAGCCTGAAGTGGACTATCTTCTTGTGGATGCATCATGTCAGCATTGAGAATTGCTACAGTCATCCAGTTGACTCCAACTACATGGAAGTCTATTTAGTATTCTTATGTAAACTGGTCTCAGCTTATCATCAATTAAATGTAGGCTTACCAAACTTTACCTGATATATTTTTATTATTTGATTGCATTTTACAAGTACACACATTAAACAGTTCCTAAAGGCCAAACAGCTTTGTGAGTGGTGGGGAGTTTCTTTAGATAGAAACGTATGGAAGATCATGACTTTGAAAAAATACAAGGAAAATTAAAAATACAACTAAAAAATTCATGAAAGGCAGTCATGGAGAAGAATGAAGAACTTGCACATTCATCATAACAACTGGTTACAGATGCTGATTGCACTTACTTGCTGTAAGCACTGCTGCATCAGTCAGCAGTACTGATAACTGTAGGGAATGCCCTTTATTTTTAGGTGCCAGGCAAAAGCCATTGCCATGCAATAGCATCACCCCCTTTCAAGAGAAGTCTGAGATCCCTTCCAAGTGCAAACCATTTTCAAAATCTTGAGACCCCTAAGTACAAACACAAGCACTGTGAAAATAGGTTTTTGTTTTTTTAATTACCTTATTAGTGATATCAATGTTACAGTTTGCTTCACAGAGTGCCATCACAATGGGGATGTTTCCATCTTTGCAAGCCACATGAAGGGGAGTGTTCCCATGTCTATCCTGGAAATCTATAGAACACCCATGACTAATAAGCATTTTAACCACCTCCATTTGACATCTTCGGACAGCAAGGTGAAGGGCTATATGTCCATCCTAAATACACACACAAAAATGATGAATAGTAAATTTCTGTAAGGAAAAACAAAAAGCCATATCAAACAGGTTACTGTTAAACATTTAAATAAGTAATAAAGTAGGTAAAGTGTTACCGTATATTCAGGCAGAAAGAGTTATTTTGTATGCCCATTTCTGGAAAGGTTCTTTGTTGAGTTAGTGGCTACAGTCTGATCTAATGCTAACCAATGGTGTGATATTACAAGAACTTTGCCTTCTCCTCCCTTGGGCTTCCATGCTTCTCTTTAAACCTTAAAATGCTTAATGCTTAAATTACGGTTAACTGAACCATAAATTATAGTTAGTGGAAACAAGGTAGATTTAGAAACTACAGTAGTTTCTACAGAAGATTGAAAAGCTACCCACTAATAGATTTAAATATAGTTAAGACTAACCACAGTTTGTCCAAGTCTGGAAGACATACTATATTCTGGTTAATCAAAATCAGATGTGAAAGCTTAAAGCTGTGCTAGCCAGCGCTATGCAGAACAGTGGACAGCAGAGGGGATTGCAGAGGCCTGGTATTAAGTCATGAATGACAAGTCAGGAGCATGCATTTTAGTGTTTATCTTCATCTACTTCACAGGGTCTCCTTGACAAAAAAATAGCACTATTCCCAGTTGTGCTGCCTTGAGCTCCTTAACGTAGTATATGAAAATGAAGGGTGTATAAACCGTCAAAAAGTTATCTTTTTTTCTGCTTTATTTGGGATAAGAAAAGGCAAAAATGCTCTGGATAAACTAATGAAAAGCAGCTATAAATAATATGATGATTATATAATAAACATGTATTTCCTATCTAGAAAATAGATTTCCTTTGTAAAGCACTAAGGTGAGCTAAAATGGCATTGTGCTAAAGAAAGTACTAAACAGATTTAAGTTGTAGACTCCGCAATATGGCATAGCATCCTAGATTTCACACGTTTCCAGGCTGTAAATGAAAGCTTCCTTTTCTTGTTCCAGTTCCACGGGAACATATTTCCATGTTCACCAAGACAGGGTCTCTTCCATTGTGGTACTGCATAAAAAGGGAGGAACTGTGGCTAAGGGGTAGCACATGATTTTGGTTAGCACATGATTTTCATAGAAGGAGGTCCCAAATTCAATCTTTGACATTTCCAGGTTGAGCAAGAAAAAAAAAACCCTTCCTGGAACCCTGGGGAACTGTTGCCACTTAGCTTAAGAGGAGAGATTAGCAACCAGGGGTACAACAGTTCGAGATTCTGTCTGCATACCAATACAAAATGAATGTGCTACAGATGTAAGTATAAGCCAGCAGCTACCTGCCATCTTCACTTGCTGAATATATTTCAGCCCCATGTGTGGCCATGAGACATTCAAGAGAAAAGAGCAGCAGACAGAGGCCCTCACTTCACTCTGAAGTGCTGCCAGTACAAAAGGGCACACTGGTGCCCATGGGGGCTGCATTGCCAACCTCTGGTGTAAGCAAGACTGATTTACAGGGACCAATAGCCTGACAGTGTAAGGCTGCTTCCTATGTTCCTATGAATGAATTTCCCATAGGAACTTTGTGTCAGTGAACCTGATGTCATTTTAGTCGCCATTGAAGACCTTTTCCTAAAGTGTTACCTCACATTTTAAACATGCTATGTTGCATTCTCCTCTTCTATTACAAGTTTTTATTATTGCAGTTTTGAACATTATTATATGTTGCTTTGGGAGTCTTTGGACTGAAGATTAGAACAAGTAAATGTTTATTAGGGACATGTTAGCAAAAAGAGGATCTTTAGCTCTGAAAGTGAAAGGTAAGTGATTAGAGGAAAAGACTGTGATCCTACATTCATTCAGAAGTGAGTTCAATGTGAGTTATTCCCACATAAATCAGTCCAGCAGCATCTCCCAATCCAGTCCCCTCCAGGTATTTTGGATTACAGCTCCCCAGATTCTGCACCACTGACTATACAAGCTGGGGCTGATGGAACCTGACACCCCAAACATATGGAGAACATTAGGTCTAGAAAAGCTGGCGCATAGGATTGCACCATAAAAGAAGCATCCAAGTCAATACAAAATTAACATATTATAATCCACTAGCATAAGAGTCATCTAGCACAATTCTAATTTTCTGGGAAACCAGCTATGCCAGCAAACATTACTAACAATGCACCAGAGGCCCCTTATGCTAGCCCTGAGTAATTCATGCTGGAGCTCGTGTCAACTTGGATACTGTCCTAAATGTTTTATTCAGTCTCAAAATTGTTTTGAGTCTTACGTTCCCCTGCTTTTTGGTTCTCCAACTAATAAGGAACCAAACTGAGTTCCTGCTGTAATCACAGGATAAGGGTGACAGTCCATCAATCCAGACTGCCCTGTTCTAGGAAAAAGAGGCCAGCTGGTATTGGATAAACCTTTCATCTTCAAAGACTGAGTAAAGATGCAAGAAGATACAAGCCTCTGATGGCCCATCTGTATTCTGAACATCATTTACTTATACTTTGCTTGTAATACTCAGAATATGAGTATTTAATAAGCTTAAAAAATCTTGTCTGCCACAGGAATCAATTATCAGGTTGTTTTTCAATACAAATCCAACAACTAGATGTCAAACAAAATGGATAGTCCAAGTGGATGAAGAGGCAACCACTGCAAAATGCTTATTTCACATAAGAATAAATGTATTTATTTTGTAGCAATACTGTAAAGCCTTTATTTAACAATGAGTTGCAATATTCAAACAAGCTTTGAAGGGCATCTGATATAAATAAGTCTATTTACTCAAAACCTTTATGGGCAATTTCTTGCTAAATGTATGCATTCAGCCGTAACTAACCTTGTCAGCTGCATCAAGGTCAGCACCATGCTCGGCCAAACATTCCACAATATCATGGTAACCTCTAGCTGAGGCTGTCAGGAGTGGAGTTTCCCCTTCTTTATTTGTAACATTCACATTACAGCCTGCCTTACACAGCGCTTTAGTAACAAAATAGTAACCATGCCAGGCGGCACAGTGCAAAGGAGTTTCTTCTTCCTAAAAAATAATTTAGCAACATTAGTATAAATAAAGCTGAAATACCTCAACCTTGCTACATTATCTCAACCCTAAAACCACTTCTAATTTTGACTTGACAAATCAATCTCCTAGGAAAATGTCATTACTTATTCATGTGCTATGCTTTAACCTTTGGGATCTAACCATAAACTTAGTTTCACATTTTATAGTAGCTTCCCAAGGCATTAATTAAATGAAAAAAATCCCACATCCTAATGGGCAAGTGGGATCAGACCGCTGGCCTTGCTGCAGGTTGACAGGCATTCCCCCTCCCCCTGCTCACAAGGCTCTCCCTGCTGAATGCCCACACACTGGCACTGGGATCTGCAGCTGCTTATGCACAGACTTCCTCCCTGCAGGTGCTTCTGTTTATTGCACCAGTAATATGGCCCCTTCCTTCTTGTCATCTTGCGGAGCCCCCTTCACGCAACTGATGTGCGAAAAAGCCAAAAACTGTGTATTTTATTCATTTAACATCTGTAGAGCACAAATAACCAAAGACTCACGATGAAGTTTAAGCCATTACTCTTACTAGTAATGCCACAATGCATCACGTGAAGAGATTAATGTTCTTCTTCACAGAGATAATATAAAACAACCTATAAAGGATATGATTAATATTATCACAATTAAATGGCTGTTATCACTGGAACTACATGCACTAAAGTTATTAATGACCTGAAAGTAGCTTGAAAGAAGATATTCAAACTATATTCCATATAAATCTTATACTACAGTCATGAATAAGGGTTCTCTTAAAATGGTCCAATTAAAATGGTTTAATAGGGAGCAATGTGTTAATAAGAATTTGCGTTCTCCAGGTTCTTTGTCCATCTGACTGAAGTATCTGCACCTTGTATTGGGTCAGTTGGACTGACTGGGGATTCTGTTGGTATGCTGCTTACCCCATTGCCTAACAATTTTCTGGACCTAATGGAGGTAAAACTTGATCACGCTGAGGTGCCCCAATGGTTGGTTCAGGAGCATGTCAACATTCATGCTAAGGGGTCCCTGCCTTGGAAGGCTCAGGATTTCATAGCTTCCATAGTAACAGTGGGACTCTCCTGACATATTAATGACCCAACACTGCAACACATACTCCAGCCTTTTATTTTTCAGCTGAAAGTGGAGGTGGCAATCTTAAGGAGGGTAAGTTTGACTCAGTCTCTTTGTTGTAGCCAGATCACCGCTTCTTTATGTTTAGACTTACAGCAGTTTTTCCTGTCAGCACAGATGCAGAAACCTATTAAGACTGCCTGCCCTGAAAGCTAATAGATTAATATTCCAAATTACTCTTCCCATCCCCACTGCTCTATACTGCTGACTATCCTCTTGAAAAGCTGGTTGATCTGTGCAATGCAGAAATGACCCAGGCAGACAACGCAATTGCTCTTGAGCATTCTTTTTAAAGTTCCATGATACACCCAAGAGCTGAAGAATGAAGAAACAAAACAGGAGGCTGCTTGAGTGCATTCTGATGATTATGAACAATACCAGTATGTACTTAGTCAAATGTATTCAGGGGCTGCGAAGGCCTCTATGGTTCTGCTGAGCACTTTTTAGGATTGTCTGGCACTTACTACATGCTGGCCCTAAGAGCACTATGGATCCCTCAGGGGCTTACTGTAATACACTTGCAAGGAGTTTCCAAGGTATGGTATCATGCAACCAGATGAAGTGCTTGGACAAGTTCAATCCTTTATCCTTGGTTTATAAAAAAGGACAGGGATGGAACAGGCAGCTGAGCCAGGGAGGTGATCTTGTGAGCGGGAATAATCTGTGTAAAGTAGAGCGCAAAGCTGTGGATGGATTTTCTGACCTAATGGAAGATACTCAGGCTGTTCTGGATGGAGCTGCATTCCTCCTAAAGGAACAGGTGTGTAGCTTGGTTCTCTTAGCACTGTCATTTTCACTTAAGACCAAGGTGGCCTCAAGTCACAAAGAATGACTTTGACCAGAATTGGCTGGTGGCTGAGCTACACCCTATTTGAACCACGATGAACCGGCTTTAGTTGTTCATACTCTGAGAACTTCCACATTACATTACTGTAAGTGAGCTGCATGTGGCAGGGCTGTCTTTAGAGGCTGAAGCTTGTACAAATGTGATGTCTAAACTGATGGAAAGCAAGACAGAGCATGTACCACCTATTCTGGGCCACTTGCATTGACTAGCTGCACAATTCCCAGGTCAATTAAAGGTGCTAGTTTGGACCTTTCATGCCTCAGGACTGGTGGTATTTCCCTAACAGTGGATTGATAAGCCCACTAAGGTTGGCTTGGCTCCAGCATTTTAATGCCAGGTCAAAAAAATCATATGGTCTCAAGGGTTTGATGGCATTTGCTGGTATTTTACTTTCAAATGTTTTATCAGGCCCTGGTATCTTATTGTCACTGTTTTATAATTTTATGTTACTATTTATGTGTTTTTATATGTTTTTGTAAACTGCCTGGAAAGCTCAGGCTATAAAAAATAAAACTATTGAAACATTTGTGTGCTGAATTACAGATTTGGGGTTGCTCCCTTCATAACTGTGTATACATATGATGAATTCCAACATACCAGAGCAAATGCTTGCCTATTGAAGAATAGCATCATCTAGCCGATTACAAAAAGTATTACTTCATATTGCTGCAGCGATGGAAAAATGCAGATGCAAACAATGAAATTGGCACTGGTATATTTGTGACTGACTGACTAACACAACTATCTCAGTATGACCAGTGCCCAGGACTTTTTGCATGTTAAAAAAAGTTGCAAATAAAGTTTTATCTTCTGTGAACCAGCCTTTAGTAGGTATTTCTACTATATTAGTGAAGGGAATAGGCCCTAGAGCAGGGGTCTCAAACTCAACTTACCTGGGGGCCGCTGGAAGTAGAGTCTGGGTGAGGCTGGGCCGCATCAAGTATTTCACCACCGCAGTGGTGGTGGGCCACTCATCCCGTGGCCGGCCTGGGCGCCGCCGGCGCTTTAAAGGCCGCAGGGCCGCTTGCCCGTGCCCCGCCTGTCCCGGCAATTGGCCCGCGGGCCATGAGTTTGAGACCCCTGCCCTAGATAAAACTGCAGCACGTTTTGCATGCAGAAGATCCAAGCTTTAGTACAATCCAAGCTTTATCCTAGCCCATCTTCCATAGGGCTTGGATAAACCCTCATCAAACAATAGCTGCTGTCAGTCAGTGTAGAGAATACTGAACTTGATAGATCAAACGTTTGACCCAGTATAAGGCAGATTCTCGTAATCCTAGGTTTATTAAGAGGTTGAACATCTTCCTTTCCCCTGATCAACATGAACTACATAATAGGATTTTCTTATGTAGCAGAGCAATAAAGGCTTATCTCTTACTACTCACCTTATCTTGAAAATTTGGGTTTGATCCAATACTACACAGGTACTGAACCACTTCAACATGACCATACCGAGATGCCACGTGGAGTGCAGTTTCTCCGGACTGTGATTGGAAGACAGTATTACTTCTCATGTCACTGCTGAAAACTCCTGCATTATGAGTTAAACTGGATAGGAACTCTCGTATATTGAGTTTCTTAGCCTTTTGCCCAAAAGCTCAATAGGCTAAATGTTCAAAAAAATTTATTGGACTAGAAAAGCATATAAAGTATTCACTGAGAAACTGTTTACCTCCTTTTCCTTCTCTACACTTACTTGCCTGATCGTAGAATATCAAGCATATACCAAAGTTTGTCTGTACAATCTATATTCTCAAAGCAGTCTGCTGGTTTTTCAAGGTTTTAGTTTAGTTACCAAATTGCCCTTTTGATTTACACTACTGGGATGTTGGCATACTGGATTATTGAAACAAATCTAAATACTCTGAAACTACTAAAAAGATTATCATAGTAACCCGACGTATTATGCGGATGTTCAGGGTGGGGAAAAGATGACAGTTGGCAGAAATAGTATCAAGAGGTCAAGGATGACAATATACCATATATCACAATACATTACTGAAGTATACAATAAAGATCACTGCACAGACTCATTTCTCTCCATTTCTATGGAGAGGAAATAACTCTGCTAGGTTCCCTCTTGTACCTCAATCCCTGCACTATAGACTACTCCATTTAGTAAGTTCCCCAGAACCTCTATGTAGCATTTTCCAGGGGCTGATGTGTGAAGGAAGGGGCTGAAAAACTGTTTCCACCAGCAAACAAAAAACAAAAGACCACCTGAAAATATTTTTCATTTATCTGAACTTTCTAATCTTTTGCATTAATTTCTCTGAATTTTTGCAGGTTTCTTGCTTAGGCTTACATATTCCATTCAAGAAAAATTGCCAACATTCCATGGAGAGGAACATAGAAAAGTAATCACTTTGTAACTCTGCAGATTTTATATTCCCTTTCCCTAAAAATGCTACAACTCTCTTCTGAAATGTTTCTTGTTTCTTAAAACCTCTAAGGCTTTATGTAATTTTTATAACACCTGTCCACAAAAAAAGGAGCAGGTGTTTTTTAAAAACTCCCCAAACTGTAACACAAGCAACCATGAATCTATTTGTCTAAAATTTGATAGGCTTGATTCTTTCAGAAAGAATAAGTCTCCCTGCAATTCTACCAAAGAAGAAAAGTTATTGGTATTCCCCTCTTTAAAAAATAAACAAAATTAAAGGTATATAGTCTAATCCCACCCTTACACTTACCTTGTCTCTAACATTTAATGGACAATTATTTACATGAAGAAATTTCAGAGTTTCTACATGACCATGTCGAGATGCCCAGTAGATTGCATTAGATCCTGCCTGTCCAAAATATTTGAGGACAATAATTAACAAAACCATAAACAAACTGCAGTAATTTGATACAAAGAATCATTCCCATACATTTAGAATAAATGTCAAGATCCAGCAAAAGGATTCTTCTAAAGCAGAAAAAAATTCAGCTTGGTATTAACTTGCTACAGTAATAAAAACACTGAATAAGTATAAAATGATGACAATTTAGTTGTTTTGGGATGTATTTTGAATGTGCATTACTGAACTACAGAAATATTCACAATATCTAATGCATATATTTAATTGAAGGTGTACACTCAAGAGAATTTTGTCCTTCTAAATAACACATTTAATTTCCAGCAATTATCAAACAATCTCCCCACCTTATCTTGGACATCAACACGAGCACCTCGCTTTAGGAATAACTGAAGCATCTGAATATTCCCACATCCAGCAGCAATCAGAAATGGAGGTGTTCCATGCTGAAAAGAATAGACTGTTAAAAACTGGTCGTTATTCAGAGGTTACAGAAGAATGCTCAGGAAATGTGTATTTTTCTTAAAGAACATCTGGAACACATACTTGCACAACTCTGCTTCATCACAAGACAGTTCAGACAAATTCAGCAAACATCACAGTTTAATTCCATATAAGTTTAAAAAATACATAAAATATAAACTTACAAAATACAGTGAAATTAAAATAGTGCAAATATGGAGTGCTAAACATGGAAAGGTATTTCCAAGAAAGTCTTAGAGTGGGCCTAGTTATACCATGTAGTACAGAAGTAGATGAATGGATGCTCTGATAAATACAAACCTCCACAAGCAGTTCCTTTTTTCAGTCACAGAAATATTGTTTCCACAATGCAGTAAGCAATAATACTGATCTTGCGAGGATTTATCTAGAGCACTGTTAAATCGTTGACCCCATAGTTCAAAAAGGATTTTGACAAATTAGGAAAAAATACATTCACTGGAGAGAAACAAGGACAATGAAGTCAACTCTAGGTTGGTTTTTTATTTTCAGAAGAAGACAAATTCTGAATAAATTTTGTGTAAGGCTTAATTCTATGGAGATCTGTTTTAATTAAATGAAAATGTTCAGTTTAACTATATTTATTGTACTTTCT